GAGAGAGAGAGAGAGAGAGAGAGATTAAGGGGGGGGTTTGGGGGGTTTGGGGGGGTATAAGGGATATTAGGGGGGTTATAGAGGGTATTAGGGGTATTATGTGGGGGGATAGGCGATTTGTATGCCCTGGTCGGAATCGGGGGTCTGATCATGTGTGGCATACTGATACCACACGGGCCCCAGTTAGGACCCGGTTCCATCTAGGTCAGGGTAGGCCTAGGGGATGACGGTTCAGAGTAGGCCTAGGTAGGCCAGAGGTACGATGGTCCAGTCAGGCCCGGTAGGCCCAGGAGTAGGGGCCAAACAGACCAACGGTCACAAGGCCGGTAACGGTCCAACAGTAGGACCTACCGGCGGCGCATTTTCAAGGCCGCCACGTTTTGGCGCCACTTTTCAGATTCCGAAATTGGATCTGAACCGTTGGGCCCGATCAACGGTCCCTGAGTAGGACTGAGGCCGACCCAGCACTATATCAGCTGGGTACCAGCCTCAGTCAGTAGGTTAGTAGACAGGAGGTTAGTCTTCAGGATTAGCGCAGCATTTCAGCGTTAGCAGGATTAGCGCAGTGCTTCAGCGTTACCATGAGCAGCGAGGAGAGAAGGAGCTCAGCGGCAGAGAAGAATTAGCGCAGCATTGGGAGCAGCGCCAGCCACCAGCCCAGCCCGCGGCCCAGCCCGCGGCCCAGTGCCAGCCCCTGCAGCGCCATAGCTACCGTATCAGGTACCAGGGAGAAAGGCCTTGCCTTCTCTCCCTCTTCTTCCTTCACCGCTCTCTCTCTCCCTCTCCTCCGGCCCTCTAAGTCTACCTCTGGACTACTACACGTACGAAGGATGGTTACGAGTTCTGATGATGTCTGAGACAGTAACATTGAGACTTCGGTTGAGGACTACTTCTGGGATCTGACTTCATCTATTTCTGGAGATGTATCTTGACATTTGGAGATCGGTATCTGGGACACCGTGAGACTTGGTATTAGCGACATTTCGGATTTTCGCTGCTTATGACATTTCGAGATACTATTTTTGGAGACATTGAGTTGACGTCATCTTCCCTCTCCTCTTTCCTTCATCTCTTCTCCCCTCCATTCATCTGTGTATGCGATCAATCCCTGGCCCTTCTTCCATGTATCAAGGCCAGGGCGTTCACACCACCAATGCATGTTTGTGAGAGTTTCGTTGCAGTGAGTCAGGTCTGAGTCAATCCATGTGTATCAAGTCTTCCGCTGCACTTGTATTTACTCTGTATTATCTGGTCGGTTCTGGGGATCTGCGCCATACTTATGACTGTGTTTCACGAGTATGCAACATCATGCCACCCGCTGACATACCCCGACTCGTACCCAAAAAAAAAAAAAAAAAAAAAAAATCTTTTTTTTTTCGTGGGAAAACCGCATTGTACGCGTGCGTAGAACGCCGGGGTGCCCGTAGTACGCTTTTTACACGCGCGTACGGCACGTACAAAGAGAGAGAGAGAGAGAGAGAGAGAGAGAGAGAGAGAGAGAGAGAGAGAGAGAGAGAGCTGTAGTCGGGTACATAGTGGTTCGAGTCTGAGTCTGTGTGTGCGGCAGAGACCGCAAGAGACATGAACACTTTCTTTTGTGTAATAAAGATATCTTGTGTAGCAATCTCTCATGCGATTCTGTGTCTCGGCTTTTGGCTCCAAGTGTGAACACTCATCTGGATGCTCGTTGCATGCGTGTGCGAGGTTGTGGGAGAGTGACTTGCGAATCATTGCAGGATTAGCGTTTTGACAAATCTTACATTCAAAGTGGTCAGCACGGCAACAGGTTAAAACTTCTCAAGAACGCAAGAGTTCAGACTTTGAAGTGCAAGCAGGATTTAATCACAGGCTCAAACTTGACAACAAACGTACGAGCTTAGGAATGACTTCTCTTTTCTTAGAAATTGGGACAACCATTTGGCACTGTTACTATTATTAGTTAGAACCTAACACTTAGCCATAACATTGTGGCAAACTTGTCGATGACCTTAAGAAAGGGAAAAAAGAAGAGGTGGAAAGCAAGCAGGCCAGATGCAAGCAAACATGCCAAAACCACACAAAATTCACCTAACTGAATTGACACCACAGGCACTCACCATTTTCCACCGCCTTTCTGTCTCTTGACTCGTTCTCCCGCCACGCCTTCCAACAAAGATGGCCATGCATAAGTGCTCGATTGCTCAGCAAGCTCTACAGAAATTGCAGATGTATGCTGCTTTCCACCAACCTCTTGGATGCTTGGGCATTGCACTTGACTTCCAGGTGCGGAGAGAGAATGTGAACTTTCCAGCTGTCTACTTGCTGACCTCTTCTGTGGCTTCCCTGCAGTGCTCGCTGATTCTTTTACAAGTGGTGCTGCCAGACCCGGAGAGGAGTTTCCAGTTGGCAGGTACGGCGACCTGGTTGAGACCTTCATTTGTGGATTGCTTGGAGGTCTGAAGTCTGCGGAGGGGACATGCATGTCATCATTCTTCCCTCTCAAACTACTGGCCTCTGCAGTGCCGCATGGCTTTGGTTCATCCTCTCCAGGTCCACCTGGAGTACCTTCAGTATGCTTAGCACTATCCATTGAACTTCCACCCAGTTCATCCTCACCCATGAGAGCTCCAGCCGAATCTTCAAGCTTCGAACTGCCGCTTGGTGATGCTACATTGTGTAAAGCATGAATTGTTTTTTTGCTGCCACCTGGCCAAGCTCTAGCGTTTAGACTGCCACTCGGAAATTGTCCCAAATGTGCGACCTGTTTACTTGACAGAGGTTTAGCTGGGGTACTGCCACCTGGTGTAGCCCCAAGCTTTACATTGCAATCCATCAGCACATCCGTAGGTACATTACTGCCTGGCATAATTCCAATGCTGCCAGCCGTCATAACTTCAACAATGCCACCTGGAATAACTCTAACCGTGCTACCTGGCATAACTCCACCCCTGCCACCTGGCGTAGTTTCAGCCTCAACTGTCTGGCCACCTGGGGGATCTCCAGCCTTTGCACTGCTGTATGGCCTGAATCCTGCCTGTTCTCTATTGCCTGACATAACTATAGCCTGCGTGCTGCCACCTGAGGAAGTTCCATCCTGTATCGTGCCAGCTGGTGAAGCTGCAGCCTTAAGACTGCCACATGGCAAGAATCCTACGGGTACATCGCCAGCTGACAGAACTCTAGCATGTCCATGACCACCTGGCTGAGTTCCAGCCTGTGCACTGCCACTTGATAAAGCCAGTGGCCGGTGATTCTGGCCTGCCAGAGTTCCAGCCTGTACACTGCCACCTGGGAGGGTTCCAAGGTGAACAGTACCACCTGTCAGAATTTCAGTCTGTAAATCACTGCTTGGCAGATTACCTGCCTGAAAACTGCCACTTGGCAGATCTCCAGACTGTACAGTACAGTTCGGTGGAGCCATGCCCTGGACACAGTTGTGAGTCCCGTTGGTGGAAGAGGACCTGTAATGTGCAGGAGGAAAGGTGCCCGGGATTTGCTGCCCATCACAGAACATCCAGCCGACACAAATGTCATCAGTGAGAAGGGTGAAGTCGGACAACCTTTTTGCATTCAGGTGCTTTTCCCCTTTAATTTGCCGTGCACTGAAAATTTGAAATCCATTTCCAAGATTCTCTAAGATAAACATTCCAAGCATCCACAGCAAAGCCAACATCAACATGTCAGCTTTAAAATGATTGCTTGAGGAGACCCCTTTCACGTGTCACAGCATATAGGTGTCAGGACAGAAAAACGTGGGAGGTAGGTTTATCCAGTCTGGATTAAAGAGAAAAAAGGCCCATGGCCTGCGTCATAGGGGCTCCAGTGAGCCTTGATCATGTGTAGCTGCTGTTTTTTCTCTGCATGACTTCGTTTACTCCTGCAGAGCTTCATCCAATGCAGAAGTTAGTCTTTTGTTCCTACTCTCATGCGCCCCTGAGGAGGCTTTCTTCTCGTTTGACCATGCTTGTCCACTTTCCCTTCCACATGGGCCAGTGGGAATATGTAACCATCTAGGTGGCATATATGAGCTCATTTTGTTTGCTTTTCCGATCCTCTGAGAGGTACGAGAGGCCAAAATGAACGCGTGCAAGAGAGAGAGAGAGAGAGAGAGAGAGAGAGAGAGAGAGAGAGAGAGAGAGAGAGAGAGCTAGGTGTGTACCCCGTACCAAAAAAAAAAAGTTTCTTTGTACTCGCATACTACCCGTACTGCGCGAGTACAAAACAAGCGTTGTACTCTGTTGTACTCAATCCGAGACGGGATTTTTTGCGGTTTTTTAGGGCCTAAAAAAAAAATGAAAACATGGGGCAATGGGCCCGGTCGTGTAGTGTACAAGAAGAAGAAAAAAAAAACAAGCTTTTTTCCTCAGATTTTTTTTTTTTTTTCTTTTCTTTTCTGAAATGGGGTCCTTTTTGGCCCCCGAGGTCCGTGTGTTAAGTTGTGTTTTGTTAAGAGCAAGGCGGTAATGACAGCACAATTGTAGCCGTTACATTTAACGATGCTTCAAAAGCTAGGAGTGTGTGTGTGTGTGTGTGTGTGTGTG